TTAGTGGCGATGGAGAGGTCAGGTCGGATCCATAGGCCTTTCCGAAGGCTTGAGAAAACCCAGCGGGCAGCATCGATTCGGGAGACGATGTCGTCCTTACTCTGTCCATTAGGTAGCAGTCTCGCCCCGAGGTATTTAAAACTATCTACTTCAAGTTGACAGCCATCAATCCCAAGGGATGTCTTCTCCTGGTCAGGGATACAGCTTGAAAACGATTTAGTCTTCCCATTAATTATGGATAAGCCAACCGATTTGCACAACGGTGGTTGGACGCCGTACATCTCACATGCGTGAGAGTGCCGCAAGTCACGTTAAGGAGGAGCCGTTCCAGCTTGGCTCTAAGTCTGCCAGTCTACCAGTATATCTAGGTTAATAAGTAATGCCTTTCATAATTCTAATGAAAACAGTACACGCAATCCACACACCAGATAACGTTACTAAAACGTTGCAAGTAACATATGCATTTGCAGGAAAATGTTTTTGCATCGTGAGATAGCAACGCGAACGCCAGCAGTTTTATTGAAGGTAAAACGTATTAGCGGAGAATATATGGCCTAGTAAATTCCTTCATGGTAACATGTTGGAGTCTGGTTGGATATAGTTCGAGACACTGGTTTCGTTCAAACTACGTCCTTTTTCGCATTTTTGGGGAAAAACCAATAATTGCAGTAAACAGTAGGGACTAATGATTTATTCGAAATAGGAGTTTTTGCGAGATTGGGGGATATTGGTTTTATTGGGTGGGAAGACAAGCCAGTGGAAAATAGCTTCGGTAGATTGTCGTCGGGCCATTCCAGTCGCACTAAATTGAAGGTTTGTATCACGTCATATCCCTACTTGATGGTGGTTTAAGGTTTCTAGGCTGAGGGAAAGTGGCCAGATAGTTTATAAGACTTGAGGGGTTGATGCATGCGAATATTGGGAGGCGGGGAGTTGGGGGCCACAGCTCACGATCTGTGTATCATACGGACGTCGACCAGGAGTGTGGTGTGGACGGGATTGCCGCGAGACAGATCGAGGGTTAGCGTGCGCAGCCGTGGAGTGTATACAGTCGAACGAAGGGGCAAAGAAAAGGCTGCTACAACTCACAAAGGCAGGGTGGAGTGGAATGACCATTTCCGACCTTCTAGTTGTTGTCACTGTGCCTCAACAACGGGCCACACGGGAGATACGTTGGGCCAACATGAGGGCCAGACTAGGGTACCTCATGCTGTATTGGGACCGCACACCCCATAGCAACTGCCACAGCGGTGGGGGGAGGGGTGTGATGACACGCCCCCTGCGCCCAACCACCGCATCAGATGGCTGACTGGCTAGGAAAGTGAACTGAAGCCTGGGAGAAGGAAGAGAGTGAGGCCGGCTCTGGGGACTCCCTCTCCTCACTACAAAAAACCTGATACACTTTTGAATTACCATGGTGCGCTAAACGTTGTGGCCTGAGAGACTGCCAACTGAGAGGAGAACTCGGTCCTCCTGGCAGGACGGAAAGCCAGGCTGCCATGTCTCCCTCTTAATTTATCTTTTATGACACCTTCATCCAGTTAGGAGCCGAGCCACCCCTTTCTGTGAAGGCGTGACCCATTGTGCGCGAATCAGGTTTGTGTGGCACGCGTAGATAGGCTGCTTAACTTTGTCAGCCACTCCGCCCGATCACATCTCAGCTCTTCTTGGCTCTCTCGCGACGCGGGCCCGGGTAAGTGAGGGAGGTGAAAAGGGGATTTTGTACATAATAGCGGACAGCGGACAGCTAGTCGAAAAAGAGTAATCATTAACGGTTACTTACTAATTACAAGTGGTATAAACCCGTATAAGTTAGTGCCGGGTCACGTGAGTGGCTATGAGGCTGGTAATTGGGAGGCTTGATACGCGTCAAGTCTACACTTAAAGGAGTTCACACAAGAGGAAATTGCAACCTCGGTAGGCAGGGCATTCCACGCTGCAACTACTCTGTCACTGAATTCACACGTTAGTCACCGCTTCCACGCCCACTGTGCAGACGGTGGACATAATCGCTCGCGGTGATCGAACTGTCAGCAATTGTCAGCGGACCTTACTTCTAACACAGGCTCGAATAAGGTGGACTCGGACTCAGACGCGTTAATTACTGGACACAGAAAAGTGCCTTCGTATGCGAATCCACAAAGACCATATATGACTGAGGGGGGCTGGGTGAGTCCTATGCGCTTGGAGGCTGACCAGAAAGATCACAACGATCGTCAAGACAAGGGTTCGCAAATCAGTAGTCAGGGAAGATGGATTGGGTCGGACCACTTTATTAGCATATGAGAGTGTAGAAGGGGCTCTGCAAGCAGTCCCCGCGAGCCGTCTCTCCAGGCAAGTTGCTTCGTCCGTGTCCGCCGTTGAGGTTATTGAACCTCAGCGCATGTGTGCACTCTTCTCTCTGTCCCAGTTAGCGCCCGCCAGCCAATCAGAAAAGGAGCAGCACTGATTGGTTCCGAGCATTCGCGAGGTTAGTGACAAGCCTTGCGTGGTCAGCGGCGAATCGACAGGGAGCGTGGGGCGGACAAGAGGGCAGCATGACAGATCGGCGGAGAGCAAGGAAGCGCGGACTGCCACAAATTCAGTACTCAATAGCTTTGGAGGTCGTTGGAATTCGAAAAATTAACGTTGATGGCCATACGTCAGTTTTACTTCTACATAACTTCATTTACAGTCACTAACCCCTCCCCTGGAATGTTAACCAAAGTGCTGAAATGCGTCCTCGTTTAGGGTGGATTACTTAAGTGGGTCGTAATATTGATTATCGTGCAACATGTTTCCAAGGTATTTCAGCCCCGCCAAAATGATGACCGTTGAAATGCATTTTTTTCGGTTGTATGCAAAAGCTGCACTCGGTAAAAGTGACTATATAAGTAGAATGGATTTTTTTCAATTGATTTTCGACTCTCTTACAAGTTGGGATATACCATGTAGAAAAGATGCTCAAACTTTTCCTTCCTCGCACTCGGTAGCAAATCATGTCTTCTTCGGATTTTATTTTCTAACAATTGTAGACTTCGGCTTTAAGGTTTTTCAATTCTAGAATAATTTCCAGTTCGATGTACCGTTGCATTTGCTGTCAGGGCTTAGAATCTACGAGTTACGTACTTTCCATGTAAGGAAAATCAAACATTCCTCTATGTCATCAAGAAGATACTATTTATGATTCGTAAAATTTTGTAGTGGATGTTCTAAATGTTGTATCCTTCAGAAGGAGCATAACTGCAAACCGAAAGAAACCTTTTCTTTTGTATGAAATTCGCAGATCTGATTACTGCCAAATGAGTGCACAAAAGAAATTTTGTCCGCATGCTTTCTAAAACAAGGACATTTTGATTTATAAGTTCGTCAAAAATCGACAGAAAAGTCTCATGATACTTAGGCAGTCACTTTTTGATGAGTGCAATTTTTTCAGGCAGCCAAATATAAGTGCAGCCAGTAGCCGGCATCATGACATCTTTGAGATATTTTAGGGTTATACTGCACGGCATTCATTATTATTACCTCACTTGGGTAATCGGAGAAGTATTTCAGAATTTTTTCCGACATTTAATGAGATTGGTCACTGACTGTAACTGCTCTCGCTGCTTGTTGGGTTAAATTATTTTTACAAAAGATAACTGGAGAAGGACTCTTTCCTTTTTTAATATTTGAAGTTATGCCTCACATTTGTCGATATTTTCAGTTGTCTTTCTTGTGGCAGTAAAGCAATTCTAAAACAACTTTTTTAAATGGAACAGTCCCGTTTTGAAGCGTTGAGTATAGCCAGCTGATGACAGGTAATAAGCCTAAAATGGCCGTCTCAGTCTCTGTTGTCATTGTCAGTACCCTTTCCTCTTAAACATTTCTCCATTTTAAAGCGGGTGTAAATACGTCGGTCATTTTTTACCAATGTATAGTGGATATGGTGGTTATGTAGCCTACCTCACAGGCGACCAGCAAAAGGACTGCCTGTGGGCTCTCAACTACTTTTTTCTAGCACTGATGCTGCGGCATCTGAGGAATTAACTGTGGAACACAAGTGAGTTTTAATCCACCACCAGAGAGAGCAGTGGGTAGGAAAAGTGCGCGATATTTCCTAGGTAGAGGAGTACGAGAATTTCGAAATCTTTGGAACCAGCTGGCAAGGAATGGATACTCGAACAGCTTCGTCAGCCGCTGCCTCCGCGAACAACCGAAGGAGAACCGCCAACACTCTGGCACCCTCTACCATATATAAAGAATGTGGCCGAAGCGATGGAACGTATCGCTGGAGAGCTCGGCGTGGGTATCGCTCACCGTCCGACAGCGACCATGCGCAACAAAATCATGCTAGTGAAGGATCGACTAGACGTGGGAGAATAATCGGGTGTCGTTTATCAGATCCCATGTCGGGACTGCCCTCGCCACTACGCAGGACAGACCGGACGACGACTTAGCTCACGAATAACGGAGCATAAACGGGCGGTCCGGAGAGGCGACCCGTTGTCTCAGGTCGCCACTCACACGCTGGAGGAAGGCCACGAATTCAACGTCGCGAGCATGCGGATAGTAGCGCGGGCCAGCAATAAGACAAGGCGAGAGCTGTTGGAGACCTGGGTGTCTGACACCAACTCTATCAACAGACACGTTGACATACCCCCCTGTTATCACGCGCTCCGTTCCCGCGGCCAAGAGACGAGACCTAATTTTCAGCTAAGGGTACACGATGTCGCGCCGCCGTGAGACGGCGTGGGACTCAGCTTATCGCGAATACCACCCTCTGCACTCATATCCCCCCCCCTTCATGGCTTGACTACAGAAACTGCTCATTTGATGTCGCATTCTCACAGTCTCTGACGATGGCCTCCTGTACGAGACCGAAAGCTCAAACTAATACACCTTCTGTCCCAGAGATCGTGTGTTCATCTTCATTTCATTAGGTCTGCTGTTCTGTCTCATTTGAGTTTGTCTCAGACCACTGATTTTATGTATTTTGTTCAACTGTTTGATGAGCTTCCAGATACCCGGAACCAACCTTCATGTCAGGCGCGCCGGCTAGCTTGCAACGCGATATCCGTTTTCCATGGAAAGTCAGGAGATCGGAGAACACCGAGGGAACCCGACCAGAGGATACTTCCTGTCTCTCCAACCACGCTGACCTGGTGGTCACCAGTGCTGTTAGCCAAGACACCACTCCTTGCCAACCGACACAGCCGACCACAACAGAACTGGAGGAAGCGGCAGCGGCGGCGGAGGAGGAGGTGATGATGATGAGTCCGGACAAGTTGGTGCCGCCGGCAACTCCTGCCGAGGACCAACCTTCTGAGCCTCCGTCTAACGAGGATCTAGATGAACTGGCAAACTCACTTCTTGCCATGCAGCAGGTCAGACTTAAACCGCCGTCCCTTCTCCCTTCCCTCGCTTCCCCTAATTGGCGGGGATGCACCTGAAGAGTTATCTTTGTGTCAGGCATAAGCAAGATCCACACTCAAAAGGCAGCAGATTACTCGAAGTTAACACTGCCAATTTGGCGCGGTTTCTTAACTTAATACGGCCGTTCCGTCTCACCTAATGACCCTGGTCTAGAACCTTCACAAAAGGTCGTACGAGGACAGACAATCACTCAGCTCGAGGCTTAACTGGTTATGCACTAAGCTCACTGGCAAACTGGATCTGAATTCAGATCTAGGAGTCGTAGTATGACCAACTGGCGATGATATGTAAACAAAAGTTGGCTGATCCAGTTCCGCCAGGGCTTCCAATAAAGTTGGTACGAACTATCATAGAGTGTAACCTATCCTCCAAGTGGGACCTTCATATTACTCTGATATATATGGAGAAATCAGCGTATTTCTCACTATAATATACAGTGGGTGAGCGATCTCATGAAATGTTGGCTGAAATTCTGAAATGCGTTTTCGATTAGGAAGGAGTATTCAGGTTCGGTTGTAAGACTGATTATCCTGCGGCATAATCCTATAATATTTCGGACTCGGCAGGATGTCAGCTTTTGGATACACTGCTTTTCAATCTCTTGTCAAAACCGTACTCGGTAAAAATGACAACTTAAAACCCATGCATTTTTCACATTGATTTTCGATGGTCTTATAAATTTAAATATATTTCAGAGAAACCACGAACAAAAATATGCTTTCTTCCAGTCGTTTGATAGATGATCGCGTCATCTTTATACGTTATACTCGAAGAAGGAGTATAAGTAGGTTTTTAAAAAGTTTCTAATTATGAAATATTTTAAGACTCCGCAATGACCATTCATACAGCATCGTGCCTGTCCATTTAACACTGCTTTTCATGAAATGTACAACATGGCCCGCATCCATTGCAAAATTTTATGGACTGTATATGGTATCTTTCTAAAGGCATAGAACAATATGAGATTTTGTTTACGCGGAACGCATGCACCTTGTAGACTAAAATAACTAAGCGCTAATGCAACGGCTGATCAGGCTCCAAATTATTCGGGAATTAGAAACCTAATTATACTCCTTCTTCTTGGACGTGATCCTCTATCAAACGACTGAAAGAAATCGTATTTTTGTTCGTGGTTTCTCTGAAATATATTTGAATTTATAAGACCATCGAAAATCAATGTGAAAAATGCATGCGTTTTAAGTTGTCATTTTTACTGAGTGCGGTTTCGACAGGAGATTGAGAAGCAGTGCATCCAAAAGCTGACATCCTGCCGAGTCCGAAATATTATAGGATTATGCCGCAGGATAGTCAGTCTTACAACCGCGCCTGAGTAATCCTTCCTAATCGAAAACGCATTTCAGAATTTCAGCCAACATTTCATGAGATCGGTCACTCACTGTATCCGACGCGCCTGAATATACCCCGACGCGCTAACATTCGTGGCTTGGAAGGCGGCCAACTTGGTCCTCTTCGGGGCCGAGAGTTAGACTGCAATGGCCCCTTCCGAATATGACCTCTGTGGAGCTTCCAATGATGTGAGGACCGATCCGCCTTTATTGTGGCCTTGTGCATCGGGAGTTTGAACCAGGTCGTGCGTAGCACGTGTGGGCGAGCTGTCTAGTTTTGTTACCCACCGCCGCCGAGCCCACCTCTGTCTGTCCTACCATCGAAGTAGGGTAGCTAAGGAAAGAGGGAGTGTGGTAGACGCTGCTAAAGTCTGCCACGCTAAGGCGGATTCACGCACAAGGCACCGATGCTGCGCCGACTCAGTGGGGCACTCGGTGGAAGTCGTCGCTCGCGATGCTCGAAATGTCACTGACATAGCTGAGACCGTTTTCAGCCACTTGGGACGATTTTACTTGAAAAAAGAACCCCTAAACAGTATATACCTTTGATATGGATTTTCGGATCTGATGTGGTTATGTAGCCCCACCTGAAGTAAAAAAAACCACAACCACCTGTAATACGGGACTGATGGTAATAGGGTGTTTTTACGGGTCGGGCCGGGGAACGCACAGGCGGCAAGGTCAAGTAGTTGTACCCAAAAGAAAAGCGCTTTGGAATGTACGTTTATACTTTGAGTGGTTGAGAAATAGTTGCCCTGACCCTGACCGCTAGCCACAACCCCAACAGTATTGTGTCCATCAGGTGGGGCTGCATCTTACCGATTTTCGATGGTCGCACAAATTCATGCAGCCTTTACAAAACTGATTAACATGAGGTTTTTAATCCTACAGTTTCTCTGTGGCAAATGCAGCCTTCTTGAGAATTTGTTTTTAGAATGTAGCGGCTGGAGGTAACCAACCCTTCTCCGAAGACCGGTAAATTCATTGGTTATGGATCAAGCAGGCCATTCGGCAATGAACATTATCAGTTCGCTACATCCCACGAAAACCACAACTGTGGAAGGCAATCTGGTTGGATTCAATACTCAAAAGCTTTCGATATTGGTCTGAATTTTAAGCGAAGGCGATTATGTTCGCCGACTGGTATGTATATACTGATCTCACATTTAACAAAAGGCAAAAACCGTCACATTTGTTCTCTTTCACAAAATACGACATTCAGCGAGTGCCTAACATAGTTGGCGCAACATCGGTGAGTTACGCGTGGCTTAGTTTATGATCAGACAGACTTGCACAGCATCCACCACACTCTTCCCTCACCCACTTTACCCTGGTGGCGAGACAATATGAGGACGACCAGAGGTGGGCGCAGTGACTGACAAAGTTAAACATCCCGCCTACGCGTACCTTACACGCGCTGCTCGTGCCAGACTGCAATGAAGGCTGCTCAGACCTCGCATCAATAAGAATGCCGTATCAAAGCGGAGTCATTACTGCCTCACGGTTCGTTCCGAAATGGACGGAATCATCCCCTCAGTTGACAGTCTTCCAGGCCACATCTGTTAGCGTTTTGTGGTGAGTTCTAACGCGTCACATTTATTATTTTGAGGAAAACGCCGAGTTGCCGTAAGGATACGCGTACGCATAGTTTTGCTCTGTTCATATCCTGGTCCCTCATCAGTTGTACCAATACTTGCATTAGGGTGTCCAAACCTTCCATCAGCAGTGTCTCAAACACCGCCTTTGCTCTGGGCTGTCGGCTTTCATTTGAAGCACGTCTGCTGGCAGGTCAGCGAACACGAGGCGCCTAGTAGCCCCCTTTTTTGATGGATCGATGTTGAAGCCTAAAATACTTCCTACGTTGTTTTTCCCTCTACTGTCATCCCATCTCACTCGTTCACTTGCACTGGCCTCTAGTTTGTGGAGGATTTGCAACTGGAGGTACTCAAGCATAGACAGGAGGCAGAACATGAAACCCGGAAGGAATGGCAGCCACGTCCAGAGTACGCAGATCTCCTGAATGGTAAGTCAATCGTCTGTCTTTTCTACTCCCTCCCGTCCTCCCTCTGTTGCAAAATCCCGAAAATAATCCCAGTTTCTGCATGTGTACGACCGAGCTTTGAGCTACATCAGAGCCTGCACGAACGGAGTCAGTAGTAGCGAAGACCAGAAAGGCGGCGGATGTGGATGCGGTAGAGCGCCTGATCTGAGGTGCTCACAATTCCGTAGAAATGCGCTACCACATGCCTCTCTCAGACAAGCTGGTGTCACCATGCTAGTTCTGGCACACCCACCAGCAGACCATCATGGGCGTGTCTTGGCAAGGCACTTTAGCCGGAGTTCGCTTGAGTAATGAGGTCACACTGAATCACATTTCTGACCTTGGAAGTTCTTCAAGGAGTTAAAACTCATTTCGCTCCCGTTCTGCTTGCCAATTTCGTCCGGTTAGGGACTTTGAGTCTGCTGAACAGTGTTCATCAAAGTGGGGCAAGATGTGCAACTCTACCTGTACATTTGTATCTCAAGACGTCGAAGTTCGGGCCTTCTCTCACCTATTTCAGACAAACCGTAAAATGAGCTTTTAGAGGAGCCAAGAACGCTGGTGGGGACCTGGGGGTCGACTTGCACGGCCGCATTTCCTCTGCGCTAAAAAGCATGAGAGATTGGGCCCTGTCCTGCCGCGGAAAACCGCTGTCGCAAAACAAACTTCTAACATATATATCTGGTCTTTTTTCAACTTGCTAGACTTTTGGCAGTTGAAAATGCAACTTTCCGGGCGATCGGTCGCTCCATCTCTCAAGTTCTGCCTTCCGTTGTCAATTTCTTCCTCATTTGTCTCCTTAAACAAATGAAAGTTGCGCCGAGTAAAGGACCCATACATTGCCAAGAAACGCCCAATGTTTCCGGTTTTCGGATGACTCAATTGCTAGCGCAACTCAGGCAAAACTGTTCAGGATGTCCTGGGATGCGTAGAAGAAAAACGGCGTAGGATGAGAGCCGCTAAAGACAAAGCAGACTGAGATGGCCCCTTTCGACTCTTCAGACGTCGTCAGCCAGCCCAGGTTTGCATAACCTGGGATTGTAACCCAAACCCGTTGATCACCGAGCGTTAAGTTCAACTCTCGATCATTGATCCACGGATCATCCTTCGTCCTTGCCGTAATTCCTTGTCTGTGTGCGATTGTCTCTGAAGGCGCAACGGGACAAGCGTATTCCGTAACCTGGTTGGTGGAAACTCCCTTCCCACAAACGGATTACAAAAATGATTATCCTGTGAGCACTTGTGTTTCCTATCCTGGTTCAGGGAAAGAATTTGTCTTTTCAAGTGGATAACACTCTTGGTAATCGTATTTGTCAACAGTTTTAATACTTGTTCACCGTTCAAGGTCTGGAAAGGATCTCCGGTGTCCTCGAAACCCACAAGACGGACTATTCTGTCGTCACGGAAACCCAAGGTACTCCGAACTTTAAGTCACCTTTCTGTCAGATGTGTCTGCTAACGTCTCTGCTAGTTTCCTTTTTTTCCTCTGTGCTCCCTGACACATTAGCAAAGTTAATGAGAAGTCAGGCTCGCAGTCGCATCTGATTGAGGGACGGAGAGAGGCAGAGCTCGACCGTAGGGAGCGTCAACTTCCACTGTATGCTTCACGGAATGGGTGCAGCACCGGTGACTTGCACATGAATTAGCTCATAGTGAGGCAGACTTTCGAAGCATCTACTGCACCCCGCCTTCCCTCTTCCTCCAGGCCGCGATAGCAAGGCGGTATTAAGACGACCTGAGGTGGGTTTTGTGCGCTGATGGCAACACAGGGTCGAGACGACCGGAGGCTGATGTGGCTGACAAGACGAGACAGCCTGTCTACGCGTGCCTCACGCGATGATCGAAATGTCGCTTCTATACCGACATAGCTGAGACCGTTTTCAGTTACTTGGGACGATTTCACTCCTTTGTGTTCCTTCACACAAAGTCAGTGAAAAGTCAGGCTCACAGACGCATCTGGTTGAGAGAGAGAGGGAGAGAGAAGAAGTTCGACCGTCGGGGGCGTCAACTCCCACCGCGTGGCCCGCCGAGTAGGTGCAGCGCCGGCGGCTTGCGCAGGAGTCAGCTTATAGTGACAACAGACTTGCACAGCATCTACCGCGCCCTCCTCTCTCTCATCCTTCAGGCTGCGATGTTAAGACGACCGGAGATGGGCCTGTGTACATCGGCTGACAAAACTGCACAGTCCGTCCCGCACGTGCCACAAACGACCCCGCCCTATGCAAAATATACTGGATTTTTGAAAAAAGGGGCGCGTCTCCGATCTGACGTTTGCGAGAGTGACGTAGAGACCATCTCAAGAATAAGCCGTTGAGTCTGCCTTGCATTGCTCGAGTCGGTCACCTCACATACGCACACAGTACTGTCTACGAGGGTCGGGCTATCCAGTCAGCTGACAGCCTTCTATTCCATGTAATAGTTTCAAAGCGCATCAGGTCTGTGATAGTAAGGAATGTGTTCATATGTCGTGGGAATTACTCCCATGCATCAAGCCGACCGGATGTCGGTCTGAGTGATGGTTGACCTAACTTGAAACTTGGTGCGACAAAACAGTTGATCACTGTCCCATTCTTGAGCCCCATATCTCGAATACACCTCTGTCAGTTTTGCGAAGGCTAACATGCTGCCGCCGGTGAAGGCTCATAGAGCTACAGTTCGTGACCGATCTCATGAAATGTTGGTCGAAATTCTGAAATGCGTTTTCGATTAGGAAGGATTACTACGGTGGCGTTGTAATATTAATTATCAGGTATCATAATCCTATAGTATTTCGGACTTGCCGGGATGCCGGCTTTTGAATGTACTTCTTTCTGACCTCCCACAGAAACCGTGCTCGGTAAAAATGACTACTTAAGTAACACGCATTTTTCACACTGATTTTCGATGGTCTTATAGATTCAAATATATTTTATAGAAAACATGCACAAAATGTTGCCATCTTTTACTTGTTTGGTAGAAAACCACACTATCTTTATATTTTATACCCCAAGGAAGGTTATCTTTCGGTTTTAAAAAAAGCTTTTAATTATGAGGTTTTTAAGACCATGCGATGTCCATATGTACAGCTTCGTACGTGTCCGTTTACCAATGTTCCTCGTGAAATGTGCATCACAGCCTGTATCCATTGCAAAATTCTGTGAACTCTATTTAGTACCTTCTTAAAGGCATAGAGCAATATATGGTTTTCCTTACGCGGAACGCATGCAGCTTGTAGACTGAAATCGCAAAACGCTAATGCAACGGCTGATCAAGCTCGAACTTATTCGGGAATCGAGAAACTTTTTCAGTGCCTAAATATACACTTTTTCGGGTATGAAATGTAAAGATAATGTGAGTTTCTACCAAACAACTAGAAGAAAGTATATTTTTGTGCATGTTTTCTGTGAAATATATTTAAATCTATAAGACCATGGAAAATCAATGTTAAAAATGCATGCTACTTAAGTAGTCATTTTTACAGGGCACGGTTTCTGTAGGAGGTCAAAAAGAAATGCATTCATAAGCCAACATCCTGGTGAGTCCGAAATATCATAGCATCATACTACTTTGCAATTAATATTACAACGCCACCCTATTAATCCTTCCAAGTCGAAAACGCTTTTCAGAATTTCGACCAACATTTCATGAGACCGGTCACGCACTGTACATATGAGAACTGGACTTAAATAAGAGGGGTGGAAAGGTCTAGCTGATGTGTGAATAGTAGTTCTGGAAGGTCTTAAAGGCGTTTTCGATTCAAATAGCTAGCCTTTAAATATAAACCAATAGAAACCTTTGCTACTAGGTGCCCATGCAGTTGTAAATTGGGATGGGCGTGTACCTCGCATGTATCCACTAGGGGGCACTGTATTGTGCGGGAGTTGTGTAGCTATTTAAATTTTTCTCACCTCCCACTACCCTCCTCTTCCACCACCACCACCACCTAGACCTTTTAAGTCACCAACCCCCTTTGAAATGGATTTCAGCCGAAAATGTGCAACTTCGACAGCGTCTTATTGCGCTGACTGCCGAGCTTGCTGAAGCTCGTGCAGATTTCAAAAAGGCAAAGGCTGACTTCGAGCGGGAGATGGTTCTCCTTCGAGAGGAAACGAAGGCAGCACGTAAGTCTGTTCACTCCTACACCACCTCCCTCTCCCAACCTCCACCGGCGGTTTCGGAGTCGGAGCTTCACAGTGTGTACTAGAAGCCTGTAGTTGAACTAATCGTTTTTTCTGTCCAACTGTTTGTATGCATTTCCTTTTCTCTTACTCCCTTATACCCTCATGTTCCTTTTCCGAGTACTTTATTTTTCAGAAGAAAAGGTAGTGAGCTAACGTTACTTTCGATAAATTCTCGTCAGGCCAGTACACTTATAGGGGACGGGGTACAGTGAGTGAAAAAAATCGATAAAAATTAGTTTATAAAATACAGGCAAGGCAAGAGCGGAAGCGCGCAGAAAGTTGTATGTGGTTAGTCAACCTTTGACCACGGTAAGCGCGGAGCCTGACCGAGGTTCTTCTGGGCGCATAGGGTAGGTTTTCGTAACCTGATGACGGCTTCTTCTGCTGTTGCTAACATGTTCTGGCCCAGTAGCTTAGGGTAGCTCGAGGGAACCTTATAAATCCCACGAATGCTTCAGCGGGGTCCACACGATGCCCTGAATCCACTGCATGCGCAAGTATAGCGCTGTCTACTCTCCTAGTTTCACCGTTTTCCAGCCATGCGGGGAGGTGCTCTCGTATTCTTTTGGAAAGGCGCCGATACGTACGACCAATATAACCTGCTCCACAGGAGCAAGTGAATGAGTAGATGCACATTGAGCCGGTCTGAGGTGACAGCCTATCTTTGCCTTCTCCCCTTAAAATAGGGTTAGTAGAGAATGATATGCGAACCCTTGCTGTTGGGAAGGTTCCCGAGACAGCTTGGTCAAGGCGCCTTCTTAGGAGTTCACTTGCAGCGTCTCCTTGGAAAGGGACTTTGAGGAACAACGTTTTCTTTTCAGCGGTCAGTGTGGTGGGTTTTGCGGGTCGTCCGGCAAGGTTCTACTTTATTTTTCCTTTTTCTGCTTCTTATCTTTACCAGCTTCTTTGCGTATACGGAGCCTGCCCTCACTGGTCTCTGTCGTCTGAGAGGGTAGATATATACAGTTTTTTCTAATAGGTTTTGCACAAACAGCTTTTTAAGTAAAAGTGGCTGTAGGTGACGGCCCACAACCAACATAAAAACAGGTTTTTTTACCTTTCTCACGTCAGTCGAAGAACAAAAGAAGCGTTTGCATGATGAAAGAGAGCAGCAGATGAAGGCTTTCGATGCCGAACGGGCGAAGTGGCATGAAGAAAGAGCCGAGGTAAGTCATTCAGCGTGTCTTTTGCCTCCTGTTTGCTGTTGGGCAATTTTGGGGCCAGAAAGTTGACATCTGACCCGCCCTGCTTCTCTCTTCGATTTACTATCTCCCTCTCCCCCCCCCCGTCCACCATTAGCTGCTCATCGAACAAGCCAAGTCGATGGCCTGCCATCTCGAGTCGAAGGACCGCGACTCCACGATGAACAGTGACTTCCAGCAAGAAATCTATCGTCAGGTGTGTCTCTGTGTGATTTTGCCTTGCGTCAATTGGTCTTTCTACGCACCAAGATAGCCAACTAGCCGAGGAATATAGAACTCATAAATCTTCTTTGTCCAATTCCTACCTTCAGGAATTGGAACTATTACCACAATTTGCAATCTCTCTTTTGGCAAGACGACCACACTCTGTAAAGCCGACCGCGATTCCTTACTAATGTCTGGCCACCTAACTATCAATTTTTCTTTGCACAGGAAACTGGCTGCGTAGTAGTGTTTCGAGAAGCCTGTGGCGGCTTGTTACCCAAACTAGACCAAGAAAATTTATATCTAAGTAAATTTTAAGATCGGTCAACGATCGAAAATCTGTCTTTTGAGCAATACTAACTGCATTTGTCGTGATTTTTTGTTATAGTTCATTCATCTAGTATGGCCGCCGCTGTCCTGAGGGAGTTTTCATAACGTGTGCTTGAAGTGGAATGTACTCGGATGGACTTGCGAAGCGTCAGCCTCACTCCCTGATCCAACATACAGTAGATGTGCTAACTCATGAAATGTCAACCAAAATTTCGAAATGCGTTCTCGTTTCGAAAAGATAAATTAAGTAGTGTTGTAAAACCAATCGTGATGCAGTATAAATCTATAATGATCCAGTTACCTCAGGGTGTCGGCTTTCGAAAGAACTTATTTTCAGCTGCATGCGAGATCTACACTCTGCAAAAAATGACTACTTAAGTAGCGTGCAATTTTCGCATTGATTTTCGATGCCCTTAAAAATTTAATTATATTTCATGGAAAACATGCTAAAAATATTCATTCTTTTACTTATTCGGTAGAAAATCACGTCTTCTTCCAATTTCATACTCAAAGGAAGAGTATAATTCGGTTTTAAAAAACTTTTCTTATTCTCGAATAATTTTGAACCCGACCTGCTTTTACACTTGCATTCAGGGTTTCAAAACTACAAACTGTATATTTTCCGTTTACGAAAAAACCATGCATTTCTCTACAGTGTTAAGAGGAGACCATATGAGGTTCATAAAATTAAGCAGTGGATTTGAGCAATATTGTTAACTTTACAAGCCACATTCGTAAATGCAGATACATGACGTTTTAATGAACGGCCAATTAACGGTATTAAAAAATCTCACCATTAGAAACTTTTTAAAACCAAATTATACTCATCTGTTGAGTATGAAATGGGACGAAGACGTGATTTTCTACCGAATAATTAAAAGAATGAATATTTTTATGCTTAATTTCCATGAAATATAATTGAGTTTTCAAAGGCGTTCAAAATCAATGTGAAAATTGCATGCTACATACTCATAGTCATTTTTTGCAGAGTATAGATCTTGCATGCAGCCGAAAATAAGTTCTTTCGAAAGCCGACACCCTGAGGTAACTGGATCCTTATAGATTTATGCTGCATCATGATCAGTTTTACAACACTACTTAATTTATCTTTTCCAAACGAGAACCCATTTCGAAATTTTGGTTGACATTTCTTGAGTTAGCACATCTACTGTATATCGCGTTTTAATGTAAATCTGTGTCAAGACGGCTTGATATTGGCTTAGGTGCAGTGGCTGACGTGGAACAGAGCCCCTACTTAGATTTCATTCTGAATGTCGCCAAGGACGATGTCCATCGTATGCCCCAATCATGGTGAATCCAGGACGGTGACTGCGGGCTTGCACAGCACCTGCCTCATCCTCTCCTTTCTCACCGGTGGCAAAACGGAGGCCGAATCGGATGCAGTGGCTGGCAATGCCAAACAGTCCATCTACGCGGACCACACACGAACTGATCCCCACAGTGTGACAGGCTGTTACAAGAAACGTGCGGTGACTCGGATCCCATCTGAGTGGGAGAGCCATAGAGGCCACCTTCAGTACGAGCCATTGCAGCCTAACCCTCCACCCCGGTGGGGACTTAGTTACCCTCTTAGTTGGCAGCCTTCCAAGACACGACTTTTGTCGCGTCTTCATAATCTCGACTGTTTTGTAGCGAGGAGTGTGCCGAATTACCGTGGAGACGCAGTCCTCAGAGTCGATCCCCCCCTCTCTCCATCTCTTTCCTCTCCCACACACTGTTCCACTGTCCGAACCGGTCAGTCATCTGATTTAGGAACTGGGCGCAGGCGACTGGCGCGGCGTGAAGGCCTTCGTCTAGGCGTGTCGTATTTATCTTGGGATGTGTGGACTCTGTGCAGCCTGCTTAACGCCTGCCGTGTCCTAATCTAAGCCCGGTGCTGGTCCCGCCCATCTCCTGCATGACTCATTGTAGGGGTCGCCATTCCGACTTGCAATAAGGCACCACATCTCTCTCTCTCTCTCTCAGCCTTCATATACAAATTGGCCAGCACCGTTGATACAGGCGCGACTGTTCACAACGGATTTTATCCAACTATCAAATCGGTAAACGAGGTGGGCTCTGAGCTCAGTAACGCCTCGTGGAGCCACTGGCGACAAACGGGGTCATAGTTTGATGCCTGATTGCTACGGCTGGGTATTTGAAACCGTTGACAACTCGTGAAAGTGACTCCCCCGCCTTGGGCACTGCATAGACCTTCTAAGTAGCATTTATTGCCACACTAGAAACTTCCGCGCCACGCACACTTTGGCTCAAGAGGCAAATTCACGGCCTTCTGACGCATATCTCTGTGGCCTGTATTTCTAATCCCCTCCCAGTTCTACTCCTGTTTCTCCATCGTGCCTCCTCCCGACAGATAACCGAGGTACAGAATCAGGCCAACGCCAGGGTGGCCCAACTGCAGACGCAGATTGACCTACTGACTGCGCGTCCGCCATCTTCCACCGCCACCGTCTCTGCTCACAAGAGATCACTCCCTGGAGCCAGACCGATGACTCCCAGGAGCACTGCGACCAATGTAGCTCCAAAGGAACCTCCCCGGTGGCCGGCGCCCATCACACCGCGTCCGACTCTGCTTCGACCGACTTTCGGCACTCCACGCACAGCTCCACCTAAGGTCACCCTTGCTCTCCCCCCTCCCCTACGCTGCAGTCTTTTACACTGAGTCCACGATGTGTTTAGTGCCATGTATGATGGCTGGCCCTTTAGCGCCAGGCATTTGGCAAGTGCCTCCTCCGGTTGCTAATTCAGTGCTCTCTAGTGCACAAATGTAAATTTAAGTCCGGTCGGAAACGTAACTCTAATGTAACGCATCTATCGAAATGTAATTAGTAGGTGTGTTATGGTAATTAAAACGTTGACTTGTGGATTCAGCCGTTATTGCAAACTATTTCCTGCCAGTGTCCTCCTTGTGTCCTTCATATCACGACACCTGATTAAATTTCGTCCCTTGGAGAATCATCAGTCCTTTTATTGCAGATATTTTGCCGCATTTTTCTCAATATCCCTGCCAAGGTGGATCATCGGGCTCTGTATGCTCCTTGATTCGGGATAATAGAGCCGACATACCCATTTTTTCTGCTTCTGAATCTGCTTAGTAACTAATGCGTCAACTTGGAGTAAATCATTCGGAATAAGACTTTATAGGCTAAGTCCGAAAGTCTGTAGGAGTATTCGGGCCGAAATTTATCAACTTTAGTGTGACAACCGCATAATATTCGTAGACTGCCAACAGTCAGCCAGTAGTTTTTACATGCTGCATAATTTATCATACTGACAGTGAAGACGCCGGCTAAAAGCTCTGACACGTCTTTCATCGATATTCTGCCACTGCATGACTCAGCTGCGAGGGGATCAGATCAGCAGCCTTTCTCGTGTGGTTCTTGGCAGATACTCAAATTTCGAAATCTCCCAAAAATTAATGCGTTGACTTGGAAGGGGGAGTTTCAGGGTACATCTGAGCAAAAGAAGATGCAATCACTGAGACCATACGTTTATTTACCGGATGTTTCAGATTCCCACTCGGACCGATCATCGGCGATAGTCGTAGCTAGGGGGGTGATGATCGCGCAAGGGGCTTAGGGTTTTTAGGATTCGGTTGTCACATACCAAACATACAGTAGATCTGCTAACTCATGAAATGTTAACCGAAATTCTGGAAAGCGTTTTCTGCTCAAAAAGATTGCTTAAGTAGGGTTGTAATACATATTACCGTGCGGCACAATCTCATAATAATTCACTTACTGCAGGATGCGGTTTTTGAATGAGCATTGATAAATTTTATGAACCCTTATATGGTCTCCTCATAATAGCGAATAGAAATGTATGATTTTCCGTACACGGAAATTATACAGCCTGTAGTTTGGAAACCCTGAGTGCATATGTAACGGCAGGCCGTGTTAAAAATCGTTCAGGAATTGGAAGAGTTTTTAAAACTGAACTATACTCCTCCTTCAAGAGTAAACTTTAAAGAAGACGTAAATTCCTACCAAACGAGTAAAAGAATTAATATTTCTATAGATGTTTTCCCTTAGTATTAAAACCCTACCTAAGTAATCTTTTTGGGTCGAAACCCTTTTCAGAATTTCCGTTAACATTTCATTAGCTAACTTATCTACCATAATTACTAGCGTCCGCATTACCGCCGGCGGTCATAATCGGTGCGTTTATTGCTTGCTCGTCCGCGCCCGAGTCGTAAATTGACGCAATTTACGTACTAGTGTTGACTAATTGCGCGATAATTACTCGACCATTTGGCCCACCAATATGGAAGCGGCCTTCGCTCCCCCCTCCCTCCACCCGAGTGGCCACTCTCTCTGCCCGGGCAAAATTTCAGTTCTGAAAATCCAGGGGGGACATTGCGCTTGTTAATCTCCTCGGGGTCGGAGAACTGTGGCTCTGGCAGCTTGCTGTTCACACGGTTATCACCTCCATGAGTACTTCGGCCTCATCGAACTTGAAGGCCCCGTCGAAAGACCTGCGACCTCAGAGCCGGTGTCATTCTTCACTGGTGTTGTGCGTCCGGCCATCCGCGCCTCAGTTGCCCTGACGTAGTTGCTCTGCCTGTAACTGCGCCAGCTCCGATAAACGCCTCCAGGCCCTTCCCTTCGGGGCAGTGGGTCTCTCGGCCGGATAGTTGCCGCCAGCCGCTCTGCAGCTCCATGTCGTGTGAAAAGGCGGCTGGCGGCCTCCCGACTGTCCTTGGTGTACGGGAGCGACTGCCAAAGTTTGGCATCGATGCGGCTTGGTCTCATCTCGTTTGCGTATGCATCGGTTGACAGAGTCGCCCAAGTGGTCGTCAGCTCTGAACAGCCGTCGAAGTTGTTGCAGTCCAGTAACCCTGTCTTCTGTTTCACTGCTCTCAACACGCCTTGAGAATCTGAAGCGTTCTTCAACTGAAATCCTTGTTCGAGCAAATGCACCTGATTCTTCTCGCGAATTATCTCTTCTTTTCTTCCTTAACCCCATCTCCGATCGTCTCACGCTCCAGTGTGCCGGTCCCATTGGCGCCGCAAGTGTTTCCAATGTGCCTCCTCCCACCGCATCCAACCGGCCTTCAGGAGCAGGACGAGGCGGAGGGGGATTCAAAACAAGATGTCAGACGTCCGCGACTGTTGGCTCTTCTGCGCCTGTCGCCTCGGCCGCTGCCATCCGTCCCCGATCTGTGCCTTCAAACCTCCCGAGACGAACTGCACCAGTGGCTCCCATCGCAGCAGTTCCACCTGTTCTTGTCGTCTCCAGCTCAGTTACTCACCCTCTTCTCAACAGTAAAGACCATTCGGACGAGTCAGAAGGACAGACTGACTCCGCAGCTGCCGCTGTGGTCAAACTGCCCAACTCCACTTGGAGGAAGGCCAGTGAGCTGCAGGGTGGGATTTGCACTTCGTCGGACTACTTCCAGCTAGTGAGTGGGTTCTTGCATAAAAAAACGTGTCCTGATAATTAACCGTGGCCCGGGAAGACGTTGCCTGAGACCGATGTTTGATCTCCGACCATCTCCTTTATACAGAAACAGCCATTCCAGTCTCCCTTGTCTTTTTCGATAATGCTTTTCAGCCCATACTACGAGTCGCTGTGCGGTTGCTTATGTGGCTCGAGAGAGAGAGAGCTCATAGGCACAGGGGGACGAATGAGTTCCACAACGCGATCGGTGAGCGCTCCTCTACCATTGGCCATATCTGGACTGACTCGAGTTTTGTGCGGAACGCCTGGTAGACGGGATGCAGACCTATGGCTCTGTTAGGTGTGCCTATTCGTGGACCAACTTTCCAGCATCAGTCTGGTCATTTTATCATTGGCTCGGCCGATCACCCTCTCTTTCTCAAAGGCGAAACTGCAGTTCTGCTGTAGTTTGCGGCCATAGACTAGTGACAGCTTATCCTTGCGGTTGGTCGCAAACTGGCGCCCGTGCAATCTTGTGCCGATGCGTTTGCCCCTTTCACCAACATACCTTGCATCACAATCTTGATATGGTATGCTGATTGTTCTGCCACTGACAGCGGTTCTTTCGGCCTCATGATCCGCTGTTTGACTGTTGATGCTGGTTTATGGACCACACCAACCCCAAAAGGTCTCAGGATTCTTGACGTCGCCTCTGGTATGTTATTCACATAGGGGATCGAGAGCCAGAACTTTGGTTTCTCCTCGCTCGACCACCCAGAGTGGGGCTTCCTGTTGGGGCTAAATGTCGATAGTAGGCTCTTTGGGAAAAGTAAGGACTTTATTAGTAAATTTTCGACGACTGTCCCCCATGTCGTCGTCAGACTTGAGTAAATGTACGAAAAACAACAAAACTTCAAACGCGCCCAAAAAATCAATACCTCTTTGGAGATTGTGTTAGAAGGAACTAGGTGGTTCCAAGCAGACGCCCGAAGCAAATACTTGGAGAACCCCCTCCCCCTTACATCAAACATTCGTCTGACCTCGTTCAGAGGCACCTGAGGAAACACCAATTACAAGAGGCGCACAGACCAGCGACCACCTTAGGTTTGGGTATCTTCAGAAGGAAGTCGTCTACAAGATCCCATGTAAAGCATGCGATGCCGTGTATTGTGGCCAAACTGGAAAACTCGCCTCTACACGCATCCACGAACATCAGTTAGCTGTTATGAGGTGAGACCCCCTCTTTCAAATGAAAATGCTTTTGCAAGGGACAAGACTCGCATCGTCGGCGTCTGCTCTACCAAAAACGGCCGAGGATTTCTTGAAACTATGCACTCAGGTGAGTCATGCATTAATCGGCATTTTGAGTTAGACGCAATGTACAAAACTCTCAAAGAAAAGTGGAGGAGACGATAATTGATACATATGTAACAACGTATGCGGCGGACGCTTACTGGCACAGTTGCTGAAACGGTATTGATTTTTGGGCACGCTTGAAATCTTGACTCTTTTCGTACATTAACCGCAGTCTGACGACGACGCGGGGAACCGACGTCGAAAATTTACTAATATACTGTTTACTTTTCCCAAAGGACCAACTACCTTTAGAAAAAATATATATATAGCAGTTCGACCGCCGCATCCGACGATGTCCACCATTTGTTCCACAACAAGGTGAAGCAGGCACGGTGGCTTGCGAGTGATTTAGTTTATAATGAATGTAGACTTGCGCAGCGTCTACCGCACTCTCTCCTCCTCCACCACCTGGACCCCGTGTCAAGACATAGCCAAAAAGACCGGAGACGAGGGAGGGCACTGGTGGATGGCACGGTCGAACCCGCACCTTGACGCTCCACTCCACACCCCCTGGCCCACACAGCAAAGGACCAGGATTTCAACCGACAGAAAAAACGGTTGGCGCGGCCGAAGCCGCCCCAGGCGTGCCGTCGCACCTGGCTCGGATCCTACGGAGTGGGAGTGCCATAAAGGTCACATTAAGGAGCTATTGCAGGCTGACACTTTGACCACCTGTCGCCGATCCACCCAAACGCACAACACTAGGCCGACCGCGAGGTCCAAGTTATACCGTCGGATGGGAACATTCCAAGTCACGGCTTTTAGCGCACCATGATAGCCTCAAGCGCGTCAGATTGTTTGTAGTGAGGAAAGTGCGCTGAGTCGCCGACCTCACTCTCGCTTTCCATTCCCAGGCCCCAGTCACTGTCCGAGCGAGTCAGTTGACAGGTGTGGGGAATGGGCGCGGTGGCTGACATATCTAGTGACCTTGTCTGCGTGCGTCACATGCACGACCTGGCCTCCCAAACACAAGCACCAGGGTTCCACTCAACGGAGGTTGGACGGTGTACATCCCACATGCGTGGGAGTGCCGTAAGTCACGTTGGGAGAGAGCCGTTTTAGCCTGGCTCTCAGTCCGCCACTCGACACACACGCACACAACTGGGCAGACTGCGTGGGTTGAGTTGGGGCGTCAGTCAACAGCCTTCCAAGACACAGCACTTGACGCACCGTGATAGCCTCAGACTCGAATCACTCATGCAGCAGAGGGGTCGCGTGGAGAGGGAGCCGAGGCGCGCACTTCTCATTTGCGTGGGAGGTGACAGTTGGATGCTTCTGGTGGATGATGATGTTGTGTGATGTAGGTGAAGAAAGAGGTGATGGCGTGACATAACCGGCGGTTGTCTACCGCAGGTTTTTGTGAATGCGCATGTGAGTTAATAGGCCTATCGGGTGTGTGGGTGCAGTTAGGCAGTTGAGGCGATAGCGTCGGGTGTATTTTGGTGGTCCAGGCACTGGTTCGCCAGTCTCTGTGCGATGGATTCGCAAGTGGCCGACCAGACCGATGTGTGAAGTGAATGTATGGGGACAGTGTGGGAAGAGAAAGTCGGCGGTGTCAGTGTCGGTTTTGGAGATGGTAGCAGTGGTGGGGCTGTTGATGGTGGCCCGAGGGGCGACAGAGTCTGGGTTGGGCTAGGCATGGTGAGTGTGCAGTATGTGCTAGGTGTTCCGAGGCTGTAGTGAGTTCCACTCTCGTGGACACGCATACGGCCTAGTAGGCTCATGCGGTGGGTGAATATGCGGGTGCCGTGATGGCAGTTGAGGCGGTTGCGCCGGATGTATGTTGATCTAGGCCCTGGTTCGCCAGTCTCTGTGCGATGGATTCGCAAATGACCAACCAGGGCGATGTGTGGGGTGAAGGTGCGATTGCAATGAGGACAGGTATGGACGGTGGTGAGGTTGATGTTTGTCGGGGTGTTTGGATTGAGTGAAGTGGCGGTGGGTGCAGGAGTCGTCGCAGTCGATATTGAGGCGGTGGAAGAGGATGACTGTGGGGGTTCAGGTGGGTATAGGTGGGTGCTCCAGGCACTGGTTCGCCAGTCTCTGTGCGATGGATTCGCAAGTGACCGACCAGGCCGATGCGAGAGGTGAATGTGCGTGGACAGCGTGGGCAAGTGAAGTCGATGTCAGTTGCGGAAAGGGTGGTGGGCGCACAGGGTGATGAGTCGGGTGTGGGGTTTGGCGTGGTGGGTGAATCGGGACGGCGGTCTATGTCACTCTCGTGAACACGCATATGACCTAGTAGGCCCATGCGATGCGTGAAGGTGCGAGGGCAGTGTGGGCAGTGGAGGCGAGTGAGGTGGGTATAGGTGGGTGCTCCAGGCACTGGTTTGACAGTCTCTGTGCGAGGGATTCGCAAATGACCGACCAGGCCGATGTGTGGGATGAAGGTGCGATCACAATGAGGACAGGTATGGACCGAGTCCACATCTCTGGTTTTGGCGGTGTTGAGGTTGATGTTTGTCGGCTTGTTTGGATTGAGTGCAGTGGCGGTGGGTGCAGGAGCCGTCGCAGTGGATATTGAGGCGGTGGAAGAGGATGACTGTGGGGGTTCAGGAGTATGGTCAGTTTTGATTGCCGGCCTGGAGACGAAGCAGAGGCGGACCGGGGGGACATCGGGCTGTGTCGCCTGGGTGCTGCAGTTGGTACGAAGATGTCCAATGAGACCGATTTGTGCCCGGAACGTCCGTCGACATCGTGGGCAGGTCGGGGGTGGTTGAGCGTTAACGTTGCGAGGCGGGGGCAGTTGAGATTTACGAGCCTTGCGTTTGACTTTGGCGGCGGTGGTGGTGGTGACTTCGTAGATCGTTGCGCCTGTCATCACTGCTCTCCGTCAGGGTCGGTCAGTCCCGGGCGAGGTCGTCCCAGTTGGCGGGGTTGATTTGCGGAAGCTTTAGGGAGATCTTCAGGGTTTCCATGTAACGCCGGACTTGACCCCCTTGTCGGCGGAAACCCGTGGCGACATCTCCACAGAGGAGTCATTTGGGTATCCGCTCTTCGCCCATGCGCACGAGGCAGGCGCTCCAACTCAGTTGCAGTTGTCTCAGCATGGAGCGGAATGCTGAGGATTCCCGTCCGTTCCACTAGGTCCGTGTTCAGGATCCGGTCCTGCCACCTCAGCTTCAATATCCGTCGGAGACAGTTGAGGTGGCCCTGGAAATCCGGCGGGCCACCTTATCGTCCATTTTGGTGTTGCGAGAGGGTGCTGCCCAGGTGGGTGGAGTTGTCAACTGCTTGTTGTTTGGCGCTGTTCACGTTGATTTGTGATGCAACGTAGGCCTCGTGGGGTGGCGGTTGGTGCATCATCACCGTATTCTCCGTGTTGATGGCTGGGCCGAAGTTGTCTCAGGCGGCGGCGAGGAGGTCCATGCCCCTTTACATGTCGCCTTCGGAAGTGGCGTTGGGGGCACAGTCGGTGAAGAGAAGTTCATGGAAGGAAGGTGCAGATACACGCGACTGGAAGTGCATGCATATGGACATATGCGAATAGGCTAGCCCAGGTTTTGAGATGGAAGAAGGTAGTGCGATCTCTGCGAAGAATGGATTTATCACCTTACGTTCACACCCCTGCACGGGTCCAACCACACGCACGGACCATAGTCTCCAGGTAACCCAAAACGGGTCAAGTCGTACGTGGCCCAACATCAACTGGCTAGGACCGCTCTAGTGTGTATTTGTGTTTTGTGCCCCCTGGAATCGCAGCAGACATCTCTCCACCCCCTCCCCTCCCCCACCCCGGTCACAAACTCCAGGAGTTTTCTGTACGACAGTAGATGAAGCCTTGTTTAATTGCAACTAACATTCGCCATACTGTCATTAGAGCTTATGACATCTTTATGGGCAACTGATTTGTCACATCAATGTCCAGTCAGGCCTGAGGTACTTCAGCTGCATCATCACTGACCGCCGCATCATCAGATCTAGAAGCCTGTTCATTTCGCAGTCGCTTCGAGCCGAAAACCGTATCGCTATCCACCAGATGTTGGCACCGAGTACTCTACAGTCTATCTGACATTTCCCATATTCTGGGTTGGCACAGTCTGCAAACCTTCCTTCGGACGACAAACAATTTACTGACTGATAGAACAAGACCGCACATTATTGATAGAAGCGAACAGGCGAGTTCCAGGTAGCAGTTCAGAAGACGAAGATGCGGTCATTGGAACAAGAAATTTATTGGCCTGACGTTTCGGATTCTCACTCGAATCCATCATCAGGGACATTCGCAGATAAAGGTGATGGTGGCACCAGGAGTGCAGTATTTATAGCACGTGGCTGCTGTGGGACCATATTCGACACTGTAATTAACAGCTCTCACAATCACCGCTGGGTTCGTAATTGATGCGGTGGTGACTTATCAGTCCGAGTCCGAGTCGTTAATTACCGTCATTTCGTCATCCGTGCTGGATGCTGGTGTGACGATTGCTCGGCAAATTGGCCCACTGTCACCTTTATCTACGAATGTCTCTGATGATGGATTCTAGTGAGGATTCGAAACGTCAGGCCAGTAAATTTCTTGTACCAGTGATCGCATCTTCGTCTTCTGAACCGCACATTATGTTCATTTGTTCTCTGCGTGGGTTTGAAATGCCAGACCAATAGACCCACATTTACGGTAAACGACCAGTTTTCCTCCTATCTACGCCTCAACGAATGGTAAGAAATATTCCATGTGGTACTTTTGGGGTTCCTAAAAACGTCATTTTCGACACCACAGTAGTTAACTTGCTTCGTTACCCTCCTCCGCCTCTTCCCCCTCCTCCTCCTCTTCTTCTCCCTCCCCCCTCCTCCTGCTCACCTTCCCCACCTCCTCGTAATCATCATCATCATCATCGTCAACCATCCGCTTTCCATAAAGACCGTCGACTACTCATGTTTGTTCTTTTGTCTCTGTCCTGGACATTTCCAGCCGGGCAGTGAGCAATACGACGGAGGAAAGAGTGTCACATTCCCCTCGCCCGGCAACTGGCTTCCATACGACGATGAACTTACACCAACAGAACCGCCTGAGTTTGATGCCATCGGTCTCACCCAATTCACGTCTGATCCACCTTTGCCGGAGTCTCCGGTTGAGACTCCACCTAGGAAACGCCACTTGTTCTCCATGCAGTCGGGCGATATGTGACTTGTTACTTACTGTCTGTTTGTTCGTTTCTCTTTGTTTTTATTTGTTTTCCTTTTATAGATCTCCTGCAAAAATCAATAATTTCCTTCTGGTCGGGGCAGATCCGAGATATCATTCCCGTTTTTTTTGAGTCTGCCATCTGTTCAATCGAGTGTGCCTTTTTAATGGGGGAAATTTCCTGTCAACTAATGAAACATCTGGGAATTCGCGACGACCACGAATGACTATAGAACCGATCTCACTAGATCTATCAAAGCACATAGTTGAGATCTTGGTGTTTAGAGGGGACCACAGACCTAGCGTACAGTAAGTAGCCTGTCTCGTGAAATGTTAACCGCAATTCTGAAATGCGTTTTCGATTAGGAAGGATTATTTAGGCGGGTTTGCAATGCTAATTATCACGCGACAAAGTTCCACGATCTTTCTGACTTGCCAGGATGTTGGCTTTTGAATGCACTTCTCTTCGGCCTCCTGTAAATACCGCACTCGGTAAAAAAAAGTGACTCCTCGACTACTGTATATCTTTCGCGTTGATTTTCGGTGGTCTTAAAAAATCAAGTATGTCACGTAGAAACTGTGCTTTCTTTTGCTCGTTTGGCAGAAAACCACGCCTTTTCCACATGTTTTACTCAAAGATATATCGTTTTGTTTTTTTATCGTATTGTTTTCTAATTATGATATATTTAAAGATTGCGCAATGGCCATTCATACAGCATCGTACCTGCCCGTTTGTTAGTGCTGCTCATGGAGCATACAACATAGTCCGCATCCATTACAAAATTTTATGAACTCTGCACGGTATCTCCTTAAAGGCGTGGATGAATATATGATTTTGTCTACGCAAAAAGTTTACACATTGTTGACTTAAATCTCTAAACGCTAATGCGACGGCTGATCTGGCTCAAAATTATCCGACAACTAGAAACCTGCTTCAAAACCTGCATGCATCCTTTCTTTGAGTAGAAAGCGTGAAGAAAACATGCTTTGCTGCCAAATGATTAAGAGGAGGCATATTTTCGTTCATGTTTTCTGTAAAGTATATTTGAATTTACGAGACCATCAAAACAGTCGCTTTTTGTCGAGTGCGATTTTTGCTGGAGGTTGAAAAGAAGATCACTCAAAAGCCAACATCCTGACGAGTCCGAAATGTATTCGGGATTGCTCCACATGCTGATCAGCATTACAATCCCACCTAAGTAATCCTTCCTTATTCAGAAACGCATTTCAGAATTTCAGCAAACATTTCGTGAGATAGGTCGCTCACTGTATCACTTCCATGCCATTCGATGGTTTTCACCAGCGATGGGTAATTCATCCTTAGAGGTTCTTCTTAAACGCTACTACTGACTCCGACTATGTGTCGTTCATGGTGAATTAATTTTTCACTCCGTTATCCTGTGCCAACAGGTGAAGCTTCGCCCAAGAAGTGAGTAAAGCGTCATCGTTGGAGCCACCGCTCGCCAAGAAGCACGTCAACCACAGTGTGCAGAGCCTCTTTCGCGTCGTTATGCCTGTGTCCTTCAGTGCCAAAAAAACATTAAATGTCCTCTGGTAGGATTTCCAGGGGAACTGCACCAAGTCAGCTGCGCCTTTGGGCCCCTAAAGAGCAGACAGTTGTTAATGGTAGTGTTGATGACTGTCGAAATGCTGGTGTCGTCCATAAGAATATCCGCTTGGAATCCCACGTTATCCAAGCCTGGGGGCGGGTATGTTTGGCAAATGAACAAGAAGTTGCTATCCTAGCACCTCTTCCTTGTTTACATTTATCCTATTGCACACAACAGTCAAGGTACCTAAAACAGCACCGCCCGAGAACTCAGCCCACATGAACAAAATCCATCATCCAACTATGTTACCAATAAAGACGGCCGAAAATCGAGCTGCGGTTTCTGCCCTGTTATCCGTCCTCAGCAAGCCACACTTTAATCCCCTACTCTGGAGTTCTGAGTTTTGAATTCGAGTCAGCTGTTCATGAAGTATGAGTCAAATCCTTTACCACTTGATCCAGGAGCCTGTTCCCTATTGCCCTTCAGTGGTGGTATTCACTGACGTGTCTTGATTTCGGATCCACTGAGGATGATTCTATGCTGCCTTGGGGCTCTGACATGAGTCTCGCGGGTAACAGGATGATGGCAACAAGTCAAGTTGGTGTCATCGATTAGGCATTGCTAGTTGCCATGTAACCGCTTGTGTGAGCTGTGGACCTCCGGCCCCAAAGTAAGGGCAAAATTGTCTCAATTTTTCCCTGATATCTGAGTGACCCGATGAACGTCGTTCCTTTTAGCTGAACGAGGTCGCCTGCACCAGCACGTCTTCATATCCCATTACTAATGCCAAAGTTCCCAGCCCATCAATGAAGGCCTCCTCTAACCCCCCCCCCTGCATTCATGTTGCTTTGCATGACACGGAATTCAGTATGTATCGCTTATTCCTACCATTCCCCCCCCTAGGGCGTCGTCTTTGGCCCCGTCGCTATCAACCACCACAGTACTCTGATGTTTGGCACCGAAGTAAGGCTACCTGCCGATTTACTGAACGACAGGGACCATTACGTCCGTCCCCCAGCTCGCTTTCGCCTCTCGTTGTCTTTCGCTCATTTCCTGTCCCCGTCTGCGTAGAACTTTGTCGATACGAGCGAACATGCGAGTTCCAGGACCTAGTTGACAAGAGGTAGGAGCGATCGTTGGAACAAGGGC